TTTACTGTCTAATGTTCTGCCAGCGGGCAGCAACACAGAATTTTCCGCAGGCGCTCGTCAAATAATCTCTTTCAGCGAGCGCTGGTCAAATTTTCAGCTGGCGCTCGGACGGTTTTTAAGCAGTTTCGGGTGTACGCCGAGCAAAGGTGAGACTCTACATGGCAGAGGAGTCATCGATGGTTTAATTACTCAAGTTTGAGGTACTTTCTCTCAGCGGAAAGTACCTGGGGGCTGCGCGGTCCTCCACAAAGGACCGTGCGGCCCTCGAAAACTTTGCATATTCTCGCGGAAAGTCCGCGAGAATGCGGCCACTGCGCCGCAGCTAATCTGCAAGGAAACCGCAACTGTTCTTCAAGCATTCGTTTAAAATTTCGCTAAAATTCTTCCAAATATCTGCAAGCGGACCGCAAGAAATCAGCGAACTATTTTTCCGGTGCCCGCTTGCCCAAAAATGGCATGGCCGCCTGCCCCCGGCGATTATCTGAGCCTGTGCTCGACGTACGCCCGAAAATGCCCAAAAAGAGTCTGAGCGCATGCTGAAAGTTTGGCCAGCGCTGAAAGAAATTATTTGCCGAGTGCTTGCAAAAAATGCTGTATTGCTGCCCGCTGGCAGAATATGCGACCGTAAAGGAAGTGCCGCCCGCTGAAGGTTTGGCCACGTTCCAAAATTCTGCTGACCGCCTGCAGAAAAGCGCGAATTTGCGGACCGCCTGCCCCCGGCGATTATCTGAGTGTGGTATCTGGGGCAGGGTATTTGCAATAAGAACAGCGTAGATGATTTGGGAATTATCATTGTAAAGAGTTTTCCTAAGAGCATGATTTTGCTTCTACTACTACTCAGATAATCGCCGGGGGCAGGCGGTCCGCGAACTCGCGCTTTTCTGCAGGCGGTCAGCAGAATTTTGGGGCGTGGCCAAACCTTCAGCGGGCGGCACTTCCTTTACGGTCGCATATTCTGCCAGCGGGCAGCAATACAGCATTTTTTGCAAGCGTTCGGCAAATAATTTTTCAGCTAGCGCTGGCCAAACTTTCAGCAAGCGCTCGGACTCTTTTTAGGCATTTTCGGGCGTACGTCGAGCGCAGGTAAGACTCTGTGTGGCAGAGGTGTCACCGTTGGTTTAATTACTCAAGTTTGAGGTACTTTCTCCCAGCGGAAAGTACCTGGGGGTTGCGCGGTCCTCCACAAAAGACCGCGCGGCCCCCGAAATTTTTGTCCGCAGTGGCCGCATTCTCGCGGAAAGTCCGCGAGAATGCGGCCACTGCGCCGCAGCTAATCCATAAAGAAACCGCGATTGTTCTTCAAGCATTCGGCTAAAATTTCGTTGAAATTATTCCAAATTTCTGCAAGCGGGCGGCAAAAAATCAACGAACTATTTTTCCGGTGCGCGCTTGCTCAAAATTCGCATGGCCGCCTGCCCCCGGCGATTATCTGAGTATTTACATTGCACTAAAGATAGTTGAGACACCAAAGATCGTTGAGAAAATAAAAATTCAGTTCCTTGCTATTCTTAGTTGCACGCGGGCAGCTATCAATGTATCTGCATCGAGCATGCTGATCACCCCCACGGGGGTGATCAGCATGCTCGATTACCCCCCTGTGCCAACTCCCAGCCCCGTAGCTCAAATTTTGCAAAAAATCGATAAAATCGATATCGATCGATGAAGAAAAGTAGCGTATGACACCCGCCGGGGCCCGAAATGTATGTGTGCTAAGTTTGGTCCCGATCGGTTCAGAAATGGAATTTTCTATTCGGAACATACGTACACACATACAGACATACAAACAGACATACAGATACACATACAGACAGACAAACAGACATTCAGCTTTATATATAAGATACAAATATTTGCGAGAGCACAGGCTGTATAATTGTAATTTGTACTGAGACCGGGTCCGTCATGCGTTGGTTAGAGCATTTTTGGAAAACAAGCGACTTTGCGAAGGTTTACGAAGTCCCTTTTAAAAAAGTCAGTAGGGAGACCCTTATTCAATCAACATAACAATAAAAAAGCGAAAAAACGCACTTTGAGGTATCTATTGGAAAAAAGGCTTTAAAAAACATTTTGAGTTGATTTAAAGGCAGCGTCCAGGCAGATCTAGACCTATGGGGATTTTACGTGAAAAGTACTTTTGGGGCCCTAACTAAGGCACTGCCCAAGCGGCAGAGCGCGTAGTGCTCTAACGGCCGAGATATCCCCCTCGAAACTGGACCCCGCGATCGTATTCGCATGGATTCATGGCAGTTTCACGCCGAGATCCACGCTTTGCGCCATGAATCCATGCGAAATACGGTCGCGGGGTCCAGTTTTGAGGGGAATATCTCAGCCGTTAGAGCACTACCTGAACTGCCGGTTAGGCAGTGGCTTAGTGAGGGCCCCAAAATCACTATCCACGTGAGATCCCGATGTGTCCAGACTTGCCTGGATGCTGCCTTTGAGGCTCCGTCAACAAGTATGGTACCATTTTGGTGTTCAGAATATTGAAAACCTCTTACGCCAACCAAATCTGTGGCCTCAACGATCTGGCGAATTTTTGCCACATAGTTTGAAGGACACCGCATGTGATTGTAGCGCGATTCTATCAATGCGTAGGTTTTACACTGTTTTTGGCTCAAAGAAGCAAACGCAATGGTATAATTTGCTCTCTTCGCCATATGATGAGTTTTTGAGCGTTCAATCGTCCAGATCAAAAAAGTCCAATACTTTGAACTCTCCGATATTTATGTTCCAAACCAACCAGTTGGTTTTGGTGTTGGTCTAGAAAAACAAATTCGGAACGGGTATTAAGATACACAAGTTTTCGAAACTTTTTTACATAATATAGTTTAGAGTAATATTGTATACACGTAGCCCAAATTCGGTTCATGTGATTGTTTGAGCGCTATAAACAGCCATTTGTTTGTTTGAGTTTTGCCTTTGAAATTCGCGCACTTGGAAGAAACACGTTCAACTCGTAAAACTTGACATGTTTGTCTTTTTTTCAGCGCTCCGCCCAAGACCTTATAAAAACGATACCTAGTTACTTCTGATCTCAAAAAAGTCCACTTTGACTTCAGGAGCGCGGTATATCAATTTTCCACTCGCTGTTCGGGCCACTGTTAAAGGCACCGTCCACCCTAAGTTGAGGGTGTTGAGCTTTGGCAGCATATAATAATAGGGGCCCCCTATCAATCCAATGCCCAAGTCGCGGCGCAAAATGCCGCTTTGGAAGCGAGAAAATCGCTTCAGGATAGCGAAGATGCACGAGGACCCCAATACATGCCAGCCTCCCCATCCATGCCCGCCCATTTATGCGCGCGCATCCAATCACCGTTGCGGAAAGCCGGCCTGTTGGTTCTCCAAAACGGGGATTGTCGGGGTTTTCGCGCATTCTCGACTTCATATTCGGAATCAGGGACATGAGAAGGCTTTGAAACGACAAAAACATGGAAGTCGAAAATCTGGGTGGACGGTGTCTTTAAAGGCACCGTCCACCCAAAGTGAGGGTTTACGAGATTCAATGGCATGCTAATGTGGGCCCCCACACTAGGCCAACCCCCAAGTTTCCCCGCAAAAGATTGTTTCCGGAGCGAGAAATCCGCTCTGGAAGTTACGTGATACGTGATCCAGAGGTGGTCACTCCGCTCATTTTGCAGCTTTGGGGGCTGCGGCGCTGATATACGCCGGGCGATAACCGCGCCGCAGCCCTGCAAACTGCACTTCCACCCGTCCCGCTTTCTCCAAAATAGGGGTTTTTGGGATTCTCGACTTCATATTCGAAATCAGGGCCTTCAGAAAGCCCGGAAGCGACAAAAACATGGAAGTCGAGAATTTGGGTGGACGGTGCCTTTAAGGAGTGCTCGGACAAACAAGAGCCCAATCCCGTGATTCATCAAAATTTAGAATGTGGTAGTTGGCCATGTCAGCAGTCGGGCAGCGGAGCCCGACCTGTCGAGGTGAGGCTCTGCTGCCCGACTGCCGTGCCCGACATGGCCAAACTTGCTACATCGGACCATAATATCCGATAGACAGGAGGCCGATTACCAGCTTAGCTTCATATATCGCGGGCGCCAATGCCCGTGACTGGCGGGCTGTTGCCTGTACAGGAATCCCTCGCTATATAGGAAGTTGACAAATACCGCCCCGGACCATCTGTGCCGGGCCCTGCATGGAACAGGCATTCCCCGCGCGTCGTGTGCGCCGCAGTGACGGCCAGTCCGTTCAGTGCGCTGATCAATTACCTGAACCTATCGTAACTCGAAAGGCACTATCGCGAAAAAGCAGATTGTGATCAACAAGCAAACCCTCCATTTAAAGCGAATTCTAGTTTTTGACCTTATATGTCTCCTGACCACAAGAAGACACAGACAAGTTGAATCAAACTCTGTTATCTTGCTTTTTTGGGTAAAATGGAGTAGTGCCATACATCTTTGAGAATCTCTGAAAAACAATTATGAGCACTACTAGCACTGCTGATCGCGCGCCTTAATAATCGGATCCCACTGGAGCTCCCGATTTTCTCCTCAGTTTGCAGGAACGCGAGAGATCTAGTTGCCTCGGGCAGGAACATCATCAAAACGCAGGTATTCGAATCCACCTCGGTTGACCCCGCAGCAATCCTGTCGCGAATTTTTTTTAGCTTGAGCTAACCACGATGTCTGAGTAGGAAGATTCATTTGAATTTGATGTTCACTGCTCTCCGCAGTGTGTACCTAACGTGGAAAGGCCAGTTTCACTGATTATGCTTTCTGCGCGATACGGTCATGTGCGATCTACGAATCGATGCGACTGCATACCCTTCAAGATATAGGCTGCTGTACGACGAAGACACTGTCTCTGGCGCTAACGCGGCTTCAAAAGCCGCAGAGCGCATGAAGCGCAAGATTTACAACGGTGAAGATACGCGCGTTGCGTTTGCGCCCGCTTAACTAATACTGCTTCTGCGCCTCCGTCCTGCAGTAGCATTTATGCTGTACATCTACATAAAGGTGAAAGATCAAACTATGGCTAATTCCTACCAGCAAAGGTCCTTCCACATGCTGTGCTGCTTCTTTGGCCTTGCGCTCAGCAACGTAGTCTGGTTCCCCTTGATATTCGTCCAACTCAACATCAACGTTCCGCACCTTAAATACATACTGCTGCATACCGATAAAGTTACACTCGATGGCCGACCGTCTTTTCTTCAAAGTCATTTTTCTTCCTTCAAAGTTAGCGGAAACATTCCAAAGTTTTACTGTTCCCCAAAGCCCAAACTAAGCATGTTGCTAATAAGAACAAATGATGTATTGGAGTCATGAAATTTGCAATGAACACAAGTCGAAAATTGGAGTTTATAAAAAATTCGATTTCATCTGTTCTTATTAGCAACATGTTTAGCACTGTTGTGTTAGATGTTCGGTACAACTTTGAAAGGTTTTCGTTTACATCGAAGAAAGGAAAGCGACTTCGCAGAAAAGACGGTCGGCCGCCGGGGATCATCAGGGGATCACACAAAATGCTGGAAATTGCGGCTTTTTCTTCTCGCTCCTATTCAATACGTTCATAGTAAAGGAACTTAGGAATACTTACGGATAGGCGTACAGCGTGAAATCCAGATATCTCGACCTTCAAGATAAGAAGCTTTCTTTCTGAGCTGCGATTCTTTCCCCAGCGATGTTAATGCATGCGGCCTCCAGAGTTTATTAAAAACTCACATCAATCACATTCCATTTGTCCTATCGAAAGCATGCCGCGCAATACCCAGGTCGTCAGCACAACTGCACAACGGTTTCACCAAGTTCTTGAAAGACAGACGACTTTGAAAGCAAGAGATGATCTCCCGGGATTTCCCAATAATCACAGAAAAGTGAATTTGTGTTTTCCTCAACTTGTATGGCGATGTTTTGACATCCCCCATGTTCAAATATCAAATTATGCAAGATATACAATCTGGAGCAGCGAGATGTGGCGCGCATCTTTCCTCACTCCCATCGCATATTTAACGGGGATGTATCATTCATTCTCTAACGAGACACGACACTCTTGCGTACGCTAATTAACAACTTCATGAATGCGTTCTAGCGTTTTGGGTAATCAAAGGCAGTATTCAAGCAAAAAGTCGATTTTGAGATTTTGTGCTTATCCGGGCCTATTCGCCATGCTGAATCCGATAAACCACATTGGAGAGCGCGAAAACGCCAAAAAAAGGCCCTAACGCAGGAGGGAAATCGGAGGTGGGCAGGACCGTTCACACCGTGACGTCACTCTCCCAGGCTTTAGGAGCGATTTTCTCGGTTCCGGTTTTATGTCATGCGTTTCGCAGTTGGCTGGTGGTAATGTTATGACGATTAGCGGAACCGAGAAGATCGCTCCTGAAGCTGGGAGAGTGACGCCATTATGTGAACAGCCCCGCCCACCTAAAATTTCCCTCCTCCGTTTTTCGCCGTTTTCGCGTTCTCCAGTGTTGATTTTCGGATTCAGCATGGCGAGTAGGCCCAGGTAAGCACAAAATCTCGTAATTGACTTTTTGCATGGACACTGCCTTTAACTATAAGGGAGTCGTGAAATCATGTTCGAGCTCGTTGAACAACATGAGTTGGGACATGTTCTTTCGCGATTACCTACAAGGGAAATCAAGTTAAATGCGCGGTATAAGATAAGACACATAGCATATTTGGAATCAGCTTTGAACGCTTATTCTAGATATGCTGTTTCTAGCTGCGGCACATTACTCCGAAGCGAGTTATTGATTTTTTAGTGAGCAAATTTGGCGTATCTCTTACGGCGGCGTTGCATTATGGAGCAAAGCTACGCCGCATTCGCCTGCGGTATATCCTGAGGGTCCTTTGCGTTGTGTCGCCCTTAATTGCACCCGCAGAGGAGCTAGCGTTACCCAGCAGATTGAGTCATTCTCGAAATTCTTCTTCTGTAAAGAGACCAAGATGCGGAAGTTAAACGAATTTTGAGAATTAAAAAATAGATTCTGAGAAAGAAGTATTTGAAAGTACCACCCAAGAGGAAGTAAAAGCTTGGAATGTCAGTAATGAAAGTTTTCTGTCCCTTTTCTTTACTAATTCTCATGTTACACTTAAAATCAATCTTTTATTCTCATCCGAGATTCAGCCTTTGCATCCGTAAAATCCATCTATTTTTCGATTTCAAATACCTTTATTGCATTCATGCAGTTTGGACATCTTCTCAAGGCTTAGCAATAGGGAATGGCTCAGTTCGCTTCAGTTCGTGAAGAGCGGCATACTCCTGCGGCTGCAATTAAAGGCGACGCAACGCAACTGGCCCTCAGGATATACCGCAGGGGAATGCGTCGCTGCTTTGCTCCATAACGCCTGCCCCCCATCTCTTACAAGGGAACGATACTTAATATCCGTAGACGAAATGTATACCGTTACACTCGGCTTCGAACCCTGATTCCGAATCTGACTTCCGTTTCTGCTAATCGTTTCTAAAGAAGTTATGGAGGAATTTCCAGCTAACTTTGGCCGCCTGAGGATAGGTCACCGGAAGGCCTCTACCGGCGCCACGTTATTGTCTAGTGGTTAGTGTGATAGCCTCATAACTTGATGCAGGTGTACGTTCATCCTTTTGTGTTTTTATTTTGCACTGTCTCAATCAAACTCGTTCGAGATTTACTCGAATTATGATCATTGGATACATTGCGCAATAGTAATCATTTTTTTCCAGATTTCCACATTTTTTGAAGAGTAAGGGCGTTCAGTTAGCTCGAAGATGCGAAAGAAAGTTTATTGAGGCAATGCAAAACTGAAAAACACGAAAAGATTCGAACCTACACCTGCGTCAACTCAGAGCCTATCGCACAAACCACTAGACCACACCGCACCGTTTCTGCTGACGCTCCGAACATATTTCAGTGGGCAGCTAAAGCCCGCACAACCCTTTATAACATCTTTGAAGCGATTAGCAGAAACGGAAGTCAGATTCGGAATCAGCGTTCCAAGGCTAGTGTAGTATAATAGTATGCAACTCATCTCAAAAGGCCACGGACACCGAGTATCGTTTCCTTGTTAGTTGAAGAATGGCTATAGACTATAGATAGAAATCTGCCTGAAAAAGGTGGTGCAGTATCAAAACAGGAACAGAAACCAGTTGTGATTAATAAAGAACTTACCACATGTATTAACGCTCAAATATTAAAACAGTAACTCCAGCAGGTTAGATGAGCATGCAATTTCGGCAATCAATAAATCAATAACTTGCTTCAGAATGATGCGCCGCAGGTAGGAATAGCATCAGAATCAGCGTTCGAAGCTGATTCCAAATATATGTGCCTCATCCTCAAACGCAAGTTTAAGTGACCTGACTTCCCTTGTTAGCAGTAATTTATGAACGCCTTAGACGCACTCTGGGACTTGTTGATCAGACATACGCAAAGAGTGCTCGTGTCCCTAAGTTAGAGAATGAATGATGTTGATCAGACATACGCAAAGAGTGCTCGTGTCCCTAAGTTAGAGAATGAATGATGATACCCACTTGAGGGCCTAAACCGGAGTTTGTTATTTTTAAGAGTCCATGAGTTCACCCACAAGTGCGAGCGCATTTGAGATCGAAGGACGATGGGGAAATTCGCGCGTCTTCCGATATGCATACTTGAATGGAAACACCATTACGGTGCCTGCCTTCGTTTCAGATAGCACACTCCTCGATCGCCGATGAAGCGTGGGCAGACGCCGGGATAGATTCGCGAACACGGGCAAGGTTGGGCGGGAGCGTGGATACGAAATGCCAGATGTGACGTTCCCACCGACATGGGAAGTACTTTCAATGGCCGCGGCCGTTCAATATGAGATGCATATCATCTGAAGCAGATGCGAACGCTGATTTTGAATGTGCTTTCCGTTTCTGCGGAACGCTCTTCTCTAGAAAGTTATGAAAGCCTGAATATCCTATTTTGAGGCGCTCCTTGAGTTCGAGGACGCTGCTACGTGCGTTGGTGGCTTAGTGATGTAGTGCTCAGATAATCGCAGGGGGTAGACGGTCCGCCAACTCGCATTTTCTTGCAGACAGTCAGCAGAATCTTGGAGCGTGGCCAAACCTTCAGCGGGCGGTACCTCCTTTACTGTCGAATGTCCTGCTAGCGAGGCAAAATACAGAGTTTTCTGTGGGCGCTTGTCAAATAATCTCTTTCAGCAAGCGCTGGCCAAACCTTTGCAAGCGCTCGGACTATTTTTAAGCAGTTTCGGGCGTACGTCGAGCAAATGCGACACTCTATGCTGCAGAGGTGTCATCGACGGTTTAATCACTCTCAAATCTGAGGTACTTTCTCTTAGCGGAAAGTACCTCAGGGCTGTGCGGTCCTTCACAAAGGGCCGCGGCCAATGCGCCGCAACTAGTCTATAGGAAAACCGCAATAGTTCTCCGAACATTTGTAAAATTGGTTAACATTCTTCCAAATTTCTGCAAGCAAGCCGCAAGAAATCAGCGAACTTTCTTCCAATGCAAGCTTGTTCAAAATTCGCATGGCCGCCTGCCCCCGGCGATTATCTGAGTGGTTGTTGCTGGCATTGAAGGCAACGTTGACGGTTCAACGTTCAAATCTGTTGGAGAACGAACCATTTTGCACCTTGAGTGTGAGTTTACTAGAAAATAATTTTTCCGGCAGAACTACTTGCTGCTTGTTGCGGTTTGGTTTTTCCCCCAAAATAATATGCACAGTGGTAAAGCGAAATTAAGTGAGCAAAACACAGGCATTTCTCACAATGGGAACATATGAAGAAACCTCTGCGCAATTCTTATGCTCAAAGGTACTCATCAAGTTAACGGGGAATTAATATTGGAGTGCCGTTTCAAATGCCCCCAGATGTTCATCGAAATACCCGTTCCATAGCAAGAATATGCGAAAGATTTTACGAGGGGCTTAAAATTGATGATGTATGAGCGACAAAAGCCTCAAAGAGTCGCGACACTACACGACAAAATCAAGATTATGTGCCACATGAGAATTGAGGGGCTTATACATCGCTTTGAAGGATAGAAAGATGTACACATCTAAGGGTACGCGAGGCGTTGCGCCGAATAGAATATTCAGAATCAGTTGTTTTCCGGGGGAAGCAACAGATGCGATAGCCCTGTCAGAAAACCCTTTTCTTAGGTCACGTATGCCAAAGACATTACAATACGTGTCCGCAGACATTTGAAGTGCTTAGTAAAGATGCAAATGGTTCGCTCTCCAAATTTGAACATTTGAACCGTCAACCTCTCCCTTCAATGCCACCACACAACTGTGCCATCAACGCATATAGCAGCGTTCTCGAACTCAAGGAGCGCCCTAAAACAGGATATTTAGGCTTCCATAACTCTCTTCAAAAGAGCGTTCCGCAGAAACGGAAAACAGATTTAAAATCAACGTTCGAAGCTGCTAGGAGATACAGTTTGTCCCAATTGGGATCAGGCCGAACCGACGGCTGAGTTTGCGCGCTCGCAGCGCTAGGGATTTGCGCTGCATACGCGCGCTCTCGCAGAGAGCAAAGAGACTGAGGAGAGAGCAGACTAGTCAGCCATAGACGTGACGCAATACCCTCGCGACACGGATTCCCGCCATGCCAATTTTGGCCTGGTTGGAATTGGGGCAGACTGTATGCATCTCATATCAAACGGCCACGGCTATTGAAAGTACTTCCCTCGTGAGACGGCAGACACGCGCCATAGAGATCCACTCAATCATCTTAATGCACTTGATACACTTCGCTATTAATGATCAGCACGTGAAATAACCCCAAAACACAATTTTTCATGAGAATTGATGATATTGGTTTCCTACAGGATAACCACCGTAACCTTACCGTATAACGCCAAAAACTGAAACAAATTGTTCCTTGATAATCAGCGCCTTCGATTACCCCCTGGAAAAATCCTAGGGACATGTTTTGAACTTCTTCCAAAAAGACTACCATTTCGGCAATACAAACCACCGGTGGGTTGTAAATTTGACAAAGCGAAAAAGGCTCTGCTCCGGAACGGTAGTATTCGAAAAATCGACCTTGTCGTAAATGTGTTAGGATCACGTGGATCAAGTGGATCAACTATGTGCCATATACCACCGCTGCGCAAGTCACTCGCGCCTTACACGCTGCCTTTGGCATGTCTTTTCAAAAACATTCTCAAAGGATTTTTCGAATGCCCTATAGCGAATGAGCTATAGGGCTTTCGAAAAATCGTGAAAAGTGCGACCGCGCGCGATATGCACTCCTACAACGCATTTTCTTGGTTTTTAGCTCTACTCGAATACTTTTTCTGCTTACTTATAATAGTATTCAGATACTGGGAGTGACTAAGCTGAGCGTTGAAGTGATGCTTGTATGTACGGGTATTTTATGCTCCTGTGTGTGCAAAGACCGCAGTCAATTCCGTCGTAACGATTTGTAGAATGACCCTACATTGCGGTGCTATGGGAAGAACTCTGGGATAGAGATTATATGACTTAAGAGCTCTACACTGGTTATTCAATGATATGAGCACTATTGGCAAAGTTCCAGCAACTTTTCTGGGGTCTTTTAACATCATAATTTTGGAATGAAAGCAAGAGTTAGTAAACAACCACAATATTCTACCCTTCTGCACTCACTAATGGGTTATCGATGGAGCCGAGCACTGCCAACGGTGTTCTTTGCAAGCTCCAAAAGGGTTAGCTTTAAATATCTCAAATGATAATCGGGCCAACAACAACAGCAACACTGGTTTATTTTTGAGCTACTGAAGCTGCCTGAATTGTTACGTGACACCTCACAGTGATTATTATTGAAAGACAGTCCGAAGCTGAGCGTTTTATAAAGGTGACATGTTGGGCGATGCAACCCATGAACATTCAAGGAATGAAGGATCATCAAAAGGCAGAGAAGAAGCATCGGACTCTGTAGGAATGCCAGTAAAGGAGCCTGTTCTAGGTGCTAGAAGACAAATTTTGTCGTAACCAGGAATATTCGCAGGCAACGTAATCCTTGGAGACCGCTGCATGATGCAGCTCACAGTTTCTTCCATCGAACAGGATGTGGCATCAACCTCCATTCGTCTTCGGTCCCAAGCCGAAATAGCATTAACATACTGCATCCTACGTTCTTGGCGAAACCTAGATAACTGCTTTCGTGAGCAAAGATGTCGGCTTTTAGAAGCATATGCTTTCTTAAGAGAATATCGAGCATCAGGTGGGTTCTGTACAGCTGTTTGTCTTAACGAAGCATGACCATGGTCACCAATTGTCTTCACACTAGGCGAGTTACTTGCATTTTTCTTGCTGATAGCTCGTCTTGACGCTGCAAGGATCGCGCTCGTCAGCTGCTGTCCTTTCGTGGCAGCGGCAGTAAAGTACTCGGTTGTTTGGTTTTTATCGCTAGCTTGTGGCCAAACTAAGTGAGAAATTGTTGCTCTGAAGCCAGAGAAAAGGTGCAAGTTCTCAGGTGTACATTGTGTGGGAAACATCAATTGCACCTCCGAACCTTTTCCGGACGAGGTCATCTAAACCGAAAGAGTGATGATACGTCTGAGTTGGCCAACCTCAAATGGTGACAGTATCGCTCTTACTTCGGCCAATTTTCCAGCGTTTCCAGTAACGAATGTTATTGCACGCGACATCCTGAACATCGAAGTTCTCTGATATGATATATGGATTGATATATAGGTGCATACAAGGCATCCAGGATCAAGCAGGAGGTGCGGCACTCAGCCATCGGACACGACCCCCTCCCCCGCATTATCGTTCGCCTTCCATAGGTACGCATGACATTAAGGCTCTATCAAGCATGATTACCCTATTTTCAGGCGTATAAGCCGCACCCTTTTTGCTCTAAACGCGAGCAGACCCAGGCGTGCCGCCGCGCATATGTCTCGCGAAGCGGTCGCCTTATCGCATACTGCTCTCACTTAACGAGCTCCATGATGACAGTCAGTCTTTTGGCGTGTTCGCCTTTACAGTGAAAAGGGTGCGACTTATACACCTGAAAATAGGGTAATAACTACCTGTGATTATTCAAGTATCCCTCTGAGCCAAGTTTAGCGGAATCTGAGGGTTTCCGATATTGAGCCAATGAAGTGATCATTTTCAAACATGGTTAACTATATTCTCAAAATGTCTTAGCTACCTCTTTTTGCATTTAATACAAATCAATACTTCATATTTGCCCATATCTTGAATCCTGCTTCAAAGAACCGTCAAGCTATAGAACTAGGACCCAGCCAACATCTCATTTGTCTTATTCTTGGCATGCAATGGTTGTCCGTCCAACAAATAATGCTCCAACGAAAGAAGACGAATTCAGCTTTAATCATAACAAAAATTGAGAAATTTTGGCTATTAAACCGTATATAATTTGTTTGCTAAAATTCTCTTTAGAGGTAAGCTAGTAGAACGTGCACAACCTCGGAAAAGTTGTGGCTGCCACACCATTTTAGGGGTTATGTCACGCTCCAGTAACTTAGCTTCAAATGACTGTGTTTGCATCGTTGCTACTGCTTAACTTCTTCTTTATCAGCAAAAATTTCATGCAGAATCGTTTTGTATAGAAAAAGATATAGTGGTTTGTCCTTACCTATGCAAATGGAAGATACTGCGAAAATATTGGATTACGATAAAATACCAAGTCTGCGCTACTACGTAAATCGCGAGGAAAAGTGGCAAAGTCAAATATATTCGACAGCCCAAACCTCGTAATTCTGATAGTGATTCTGATAGTGAGACCCGATTGGTCTTCTCTAATCTGAGATATACTTACATACTTAGATAGCCCGTCCTCACGTGACGTGCGGGCCCCAATAGAAGTTTCTGATTCCTTTCCTCGCCCTGGACAATCGCGATCTTCTTGGTTGCCATTGGTGGCTGCGTTCACAGGGAAGAAAATCGTATCAGCTAATTTCTCAGCTGTCCATCCGTTCCACGAACACGTCTGCCCATCTCGTTGGAGGTCTTCGTTTTGACGTTTTGCTTCGCGAGGAATCCACTTAGATGTTCCTAGTGCCCATCTGTCGTCTGTTCTTCTCATGATGTGGCCGGTCCGTCGGTGTTTCGCTTTCGCAACTATTCCGCTGGACACAAAGACGGGACATTCTTTTCATATCCGTACGGAGTCCAACTAGATGTTGCTTGTGTCGGGTCATCTTCAGAAGATTGCGCTCCAGCGCTCTGTGGATGGTCCCTAGAGCTTTCGACGTGGCTATGGTGTCGGGCAAGTCTCAGCTGCGTAATAGAGCGCCGGGAGAACGGTTGAGTCGAACAGGTGGGCACCAAACTCCGGGTCCGCAGTTGGTCGGTGGCTTCCTTCAGGGGCCCAAAGGCGGCCCAAGCTGTTTTTCTTCTCCTGTTAAGTTCTTTTCATCGTTTTCATCGAACTCCAACAGCTTTCGCGACTTTCTGAAATTCAATCGTACTCTGATAAGAGATCAAATGAGAAATGTAGTCCTGATTTTTGGGAAGATTCTCACAAAAATCCCCCTTTGTAGCGTGAAAACTACGACAACGCAACGCTTCGGTTTTGTGATGTATGTGTATCACCCCTATATCTTCTTCGTTCACATTCATTCCGATTAGTTATGATCCTAATCCGGGGCGAAGCCAGAATGACTTTTGTTTTTCATTCTGGTGAAGGTTTCGTTCTTTTATTTCGCTTGAAGTGAAGGTTGTTACCAGAGTACATAAGTCTATGCATCAAGGGTATGCCTCCTTACTATTTTTCCTTTATTCACGTGCAGTCTTCGTTGTTTCTTTGCAGATTAACGGTTCTTTTCTTCTCCTTACGCAATCAGAATGTTCAAACAGCTTTTCAAAGATCGAAGCACGCTGCTGGACGTAGCTCCGAAATCGCGTCTTCCATTGGTCCATAGAGATCAATCTCTTAAGCGTCCAATCCTGGTAGCGCCATGTTGGCAAGCTCATTAACAGTTTCGCATTTACAGGAATGAAGGCGGCGGAGCAAGTCCGTTCTCAGTCCCCGAACTCGACTTTGAAAAAAAAAATACTTCAAAGTTCTCGCAGTTTTTTCTACCCCTTTTGCTTTGTCTTTGGCAACTTTTGAGTGCTCATTGTCTACATTTCGGGGCTTTTCTTATCTGTTTAAACGGAATGCGCTCAGACTTACCATTTGCGTTTATTCGCATGACCAAAGCGCTGTCATCATCCAGTTTGAATACTCTAGATAGCCCGCCCTATGGTTAACCAGTTTAAAGTGTCTCGACTGTTTTTTTACGTGAGCATTTTCGTATGTACTCGGTCGCTAAGGTCAAGTCAACGGTCTTTCGTTGACCTCGTTTTCGATAAAGTCAAGCTTTGTCCTTTGACAAGCCTTCCCTTTCTGTGCGCGAATGTGTTTATGAGTCATCTGTTTTCCCAAAAAAACTCATTTTTATTCTCCTTCAAATCTGAAAGATCGAAGCACTTTTTTGTTTAATGACGATGTTGTTCGCTCTAGCATATTTGCGTAGTGTAGTGAGGCTTCTTCTGCTACGCGATGTTGCAATCTGCACTTAAAACGAACTAACAACAACTGCTGTTCGATCAAAGCGCTAATCTCCAGTGCTTTGGTTTTGCCGGGTCCATAGTCAGGCGGCTACCTTGGCCTTCGCAACTCCATAGCCGTATCGGGCTTTTCAGCACGCTTGCTACTGTGCCTTCTTGTGGTTTGTTGGCTTTCTTTCGCTCCCCTGCGGACTTTACCTTTTCACGGAACGAGTAGCCGAGTGCGTACACGATGCACCATGCCACCTTTTCCTTTCCTAACAGACGAGGTAGCTGGACATTAAGACCCACTGTTTATTTCAAATTTCAGATGAATAGCATATTTGAAGGTTATCGAATTGCCGGAAGCATCATAGACATGTTCCATATCTCCATCCATGTCAAAACGTTCTTGATGTGCTGTCAACAGCAGATCCAGAGGCATGGTACTGAGTTGGTCCAGGTTCTACCACTGCTTCCCTCTACAGGCCAGACCTTACAATTTCTTAAACCAGTGGCTTGGCAAAATTGAGCATATTGAGATGGAATTAATTACCTCCCAAACAGGAAAATAAACCAAGCCCAGTTTCTCAGCACCCTCATGCTGCCAAGAAACCTGCCCTCAAACTCTTTAGCGCAAGCCATTCTTACACGCGCTTGGACGAGCTCGCGATCTCCCTCCCACCGTCGGAAGCGACTTGCCGCAATGGCATAGTTTGTAAGGGTCCCGTAACGACTCTGCGTCTCCAGCCATGGCAGAAGCTATTTCACTCTTCCGACTTCAAAACGAAGGACATCGGGGAGTGTTTATACAAACATTTTGCGCTCTACAAAAAGGATTTTTAGATCAGTGTGTCGGACAACCCCAGGTAAGCAAAAAATTCGATCTTCATGGCAGTGGTGTACCCAGGATTTCGGCTCGGGGGGGGGGGGGAAGGGGCGCGACAAAAAAAATTCCGATGAAGGTGCGTGGCGTCAGCCACGCACCCCGAAAATTTTTTTGGTATGCTCCTCAAAATTTTCGCGGCTCAGAACTATGAAATTTCAAGAAAGGGGGCGTGGCTGTGGCCCCCGAAAAAGTTTTTTATAAGGCTAAAATGAATTTTTAGAAAATTTTAAAAATTATTAGGCTGGAAACTAAGTTTTGCAACTGGTTTCATAACTTCACTCTCTTTGGATATGGCGCACTCAAGCTTTGGCATTACGTAGAAGGGAATGTGGGCTACAAGTGAGCACAAACTGTCTAAATTTTGAACACGAAATAGAAAAGTTTCAGGCGTTTTTCGAAAATTAGTGAAATTTGAGAATTTTTGGGGTTTCAAGCTAAAATGAAGCCTTTGGCAGCCTAGACCATGCGCAGTAATCCGGATTCGTCTATAAATTATTGCTGGAGGTTGACTCCTTTGGCCTAGTAAGAAAGAAACAAAATCTAGGGGCATGTCGAGATATGGCGTCCTCATAAAGTCGAACGAGTCGATGTACGCAAGAGCTGCTGGGGACGACCGTCAGACTAAAAAGTCCGACGCTCAAATTCCGCCGAGACTTTACATAGTGAGGTTATTTGACCTGCTAAACGCGAATATCACATTCATTTGTTGAATCAACGCCTTTTTCCTTGTTTAGGGTGAGACCCCATATCGTACACCTACAGCAATCCTACAAAAAAGCCCTTATCACGCAATTTCACTATCGTTTTCGTGATCAGCACGCCGGATAACACCCTTATGCCAAGTTTCAGCCAAATCCGTCAAACTTTGAATTTTTCCCCTTCATACCATGCACCTACCGTAACCCTCACTGCGACGTCAGAATTTGGTAGGACAGCAGCTGCGCTTGTAGCTTGCGTAATAACCAACGCAGTAGCAAAATTTGAGTGGGCCATGTTGAGTGAGAGGGAAGTTATGAGACCAGTTGCAAAACTTAGTTTCCAACCTAATATTTTGATCATTTACAAGTGTAGACAAGCCATTTGCACAATTTTATAACCCATGTAAGTAATTTTCAAAAATTTCGCGACCCGTTCTCGGGAGGGGGAGGGCCCCCCCCCCCCCCCGCCCCCATCCCTCGGTACGCCACTGCTTCATGGATAAAGAACGTCATCAGTGGGCGTGGAAGCCCAACGGAATGAGTCAAGCAAACATCGACCACATTCTCACCAACCGAAGGTGGAGCTTACTCGATATCCTCCCATCCTGCACTGGCTCCGATCGACGCCTCCTTTGGGCGAAAAGACGATCCGGTCGA